AAAAAAAAAAGTAACTGATAAAATATTTCAACAATTTAAAAATAAATAAATAAATAAATAATAAAAAGATACACATGAAATAAAATTTACCAAAAAAAAAAAAAATCTGGGGCGCCTGGGTGGCTCAGTTGGGTAAGTGACTGCCTTCAGCTCAGGTCATGATCCCAGGGTCCTGGGATCGAGTCCCGCATCAGGGTTCCTGCTCAGCAGGAAGCATGCTTCTCCCTCTCCCACTCCCCCTGCTTGTATTCCCTCTCTCGCTGTGTCTCTCCCTCTCTGTCAATTAAATAAATAAATAAAATCTTTTAGAAAAAAAAATCTCAAAGAGATAAATCTCCCACTGTTATCCTCAGAGAATAAGATCAGAGATGGAGAGTACAAGAGGCAGAAGGGAACTTTTTACTTTGCACTTCACCTCCTTCTGCATATTTGAATTGAATGTAGTGCTTTTATAATTAAAGAAAATAAGAAAAAGCAATGGGTCAATCTGCCTTTCAGAGGCAGAGCTGCACACTGCTCCAGGAAATGCCAAACACAAACCAAAAATATACAGTCTGGGGAAAGAAGGGGGTGGCTGCATGCTCCCCTTTGCTCCCCAGAAGGAGCAAAATCACTTCTGGTTGAGAACCGCTGACTTGAGAACCTGACTGAGGGTACAGGAGAGAGTGGACAGCTTCAGGGAGAGACAGCATGAGAAGTCATGACACCTGAGCTGGAGGGCTTACAGGTCTGATGGCCGAGGATGAAGAAATTCTGTTTGGGCGGCTCCTGTTTCCGTAACAACTTATGCAACAAGACCAATAGCTAAGGCAAGGGGGAAGGAAAAGTCACGGAGGGACCAGTGTAGGACCACTGGGCTGTGCTAAGCACACAGCTGAGGTTTGTGGTCCCACATGACACGGCAGGGCTGTGGGACTTCTCTCTACCTCCAGGGCAACTGCTCAAACGCAGATGCATAGCTGGGGTCAACCGGGTTTGGGGCTCTCCAGCCAGGCACGATGGAGACAGATGGAGAGGAGCTGCTGCATCCGTTTGCACTCTCCCTCAAGTAAATAAATAAATCTTAAAAAAAAAAAAAAGCTACCTACCCAAAAATATATCCTTCAAGGTAAAGAGCAATTCTGAAAATGAAATCCAAAAATGATCTGAGCAGTAACACAGAAACAAGTGGGCAGCCAACCCTTCAAGGTCATCTCTTTGAAGGAGAAAGAAATCACCTGGGTGTAAGCCCACTTGTCTATCCACATCCCTCCCTGGTGTTTTCTTCACATCCTAATGCTTTCAACATCATCCCAGATGTATATTCCCACCCACCGCCCCGGACCCAAATGCTAGACTTGTACATCCAACCATCTGTGTCTCCGTGTTCATGTTCATTCAGAGCCTTAACACGTTCACCTCACGCACACACAAAATCTGTTCTTCTGGTCTTCCCTGCTCAGGTAATGACAACCCTATTCTTCTTGTTGCCTGGACCAAGAACCTTGTGGTCACCCTCTCCCTCTCTTATACCCCACAATGGATCTATTGGGAAACCCTACTGGCTCTGCCTTTAAAACATGAGCAGAATCCATTGATTCCTCACTAGGTTCACAGCTAACACCCTTGTCAAGCTGTGATCATCTCTCCCCTGCAAGGCCTAGCTAATCTTCCACCCTTACCAACATCTTGATCTCCTCTCCACACATAAAACACCTTCTCTCTCTACTCAAATTGCTCCAACGGCTCTCCTGGTGTATGTACCAAGCCCTGCGTGCCCTGGCCACCACTTGGCCCTTCTCTGACCTTGTGTGCTACCTCCCTTCTCATCCTGCCCTCTGGTCACACTGGCTCATTCCTGGTCCCCGAACAACCAGGCATGTTCCATCTTGGGGCCTCTGCTGGTACCCATCTTTCTTACTGGAACATATTTTCCCCAAATATCCACACGGCTCACGTTCAGATCACCCTGACCACCTAGAATAGCGAGCCGTGCCTCTTTCCTTGCCCTGCTGTCTTCCCAGCACATGTCATTAACATACTTTATTGCATATCTATTTCTTTCCTTTTTAGTTAAGATTTTATTTATTTGAGAGACAGAGAGAGAACAGAGGGAGAGTAGGAGGGAGAAGCAGACTCCTGCTGAGCAGGGAGCCCGATGCAGGGCTCGATCCCAGGACCCTGAGATCATGACCTGAGCCGAAGGCAGATGCTTAACCGACTGAGACCCCCAGGCGCCCCTTGCATATCTATTTCTTATTCATTGTCTCATCCCCCAACTAGAAAGCTTCAACGGTCTTTGTTTAATTCACTGCCACAGCTCTAGCCCCTAAAATGAATGAATAAATCTTTAAAAAAAAGTTACCTTGTCCTATGGTTTTACTTTGCATAAAAATTCCTTTCCCTTCTCCCTGACTTCTTCATTTCCAGGGTGCCTGGGTGGCTCAGTCAGTTAAGCGTCTGCCTTCTGGTCAGGTCACGATCCCAGGTTCCTGGGATCGAGTCCTGCATCGGGCTCCTTGCTCAGCAGGGAGCCTGCTTCTCCCTCTCCTCCCCACTCATGATGTCTCTCGCTATCTCTTGTCTCTCTCTTTCAGGTAAATAAATAAAATCTTAAAAAAAAAAAAAAACATAAATAAGATGTCTTCTTTCCACATTCATGGTACCCTAGTTTCCCAAAACAAAAGCCAGCCGTTCATCAAGCTGCAGGCCCGTGGATGCATTTTCTGCTCCTTCCCTCTTGCCAATCACTGAATACGTCCGCACAAAGGGACTTTGTGCAACAGTCCTTAACTGGCCCCTAGAGACACTGCTGCATCGGTGGGCCTCAGCTACCACAGAACCGACACTGCACAAAGTGCAGCCAGCAGACACCGGCTGCCTAGAAGACAAGGGCTCGTGAAGCTTCTATCAGAATTCACCCCTTCAGTTTCTCTTTTTAAAATAAAAAGCTTTTTAAAAAGTCAATATAATACCATGATAGGGTTTGAAAAATAAGAATGAAAAAAACTGCCCATTATCTTTCACCATAGCACAATTTCTATTGTTTCTATATTTTTCTACATAAATTGCATTAATTTTGCAGTTGAAAATCATGTATTGTACAATTTTGCGTTTTGCTTTTTTCACTCATCCTCATAAGATTTTTTTCATGTTGCTACACAGGGCTCCTAAACACACTTAATGGCTACAGAATATTCTATCAAGTGGCCGGACCATAATTAACCATTCCCTTACAGAAATTATTACTGGTTTCCTATTGCTATAAATAACAAAGTACTCCTTGATGCACTTAGCTTTTTACCTTCCATTGGATTAGGATAAAGTCCCAGATGTGAGATCACTGGGCTCAAGGGTAGAAATATTTTGAGGAGCCATAACCCATAATGCCAAGTTGCCACCTTGAAAGGCCACCCCATTAACACTCAGATGTTACCCGGCACTCACTCTCTTCACGGCTCCTTCCCCGACACACTTCAGCGGCCTCACTTCGGTCCTTAGCTCCTCGCAGGACAGCCACGGTGAACAGTTTTTCATCTGTCCCATTCTGAAGTGTCCGCGGGGACAGTGAGTGGAGGCCGGCGCAGAGGGGGAAGGGGCGATGAAAACCCAGGCCAGGCAGAGGTAGAGGAGCGCGTTCAGGAGGGCCATGGGCAGCAGCAGCCCCAGGGCAGGGGGCAGCGCTCTGCGGGGGGCGCCTCGGCTGCCGTCCTGGGCTTTCCTGCCCATGCCGCTGTGCTCGGCAGGTTCCTGCCACGTAAGAGCAAACAAGAAGTAACCACAGCCAGTTTTCACATCCGTGAAGGGGTTTGGGTGACAAGGGGTTAAAAGAAGGTACAGCCTCTTGGGCCTCTCTTGCCCAAGGATCCTGCATGCATTGGGGTCCTTATGAGGATTAAAGAAGGTATTGCTTACCAGGTTCATTCTAAATGCTCGGGTGTCGGTGTTCCCACAATCGGCGTCTTTTTATTCTCAGCCAGTTTGGGCTCATCCACTCTGGATTTGATCAGAAGGAAGGGGTATGTGTGTGTCTCACTTTGTGTCTCTCCCACAGCAGTTCACCAAAATGACAAATGAAAAATGAAAGCAAGCTGCATCTGTAGTCCCGTGGGGCCAGGACAGATGGACAAAGGAGAGCAGTGGAGATTAGATAGGGTCGGGGGTGGGGGCGAGAACGTGGACGGCCTTCTGAACCCAGCTAAGGAGTTCGGATATTCCTTGGAAGTACGTTTTTAAGAAGCAAGGCTACTCTTCAGCAGGTGTGAAAGATGTATTGGGGTGGAAGAGACGGGGTGAGGGCTCTGGCAGTAGGGTGGGGTAAGAGCTGAGAAGCACAGGAGCTGGAGAAATGGTGGTGAGAATGGAGAGAGGATGATCCGCAGGTGATCCTCGCAGCCAGGCACCACCGAGAAGGCTGACACAGTTCAGCTCTAGCACTGCAGGGCATGAGGCTCATGGGGGAGGTGGGCATTACTGCTAGCTGTGGGGTGGCCGAGGGGCCTGGAGGGGAGAGAGGGCTGGAAGGACCCTGGACATCAGGTGCTTGACACTCAGGGTGCCTGAGGCAGGAGCTATGTGTGAACCAGAGTGGACAAGGGAGATGGGCATACCAGTGTGTTCACTTAGTGTCAGTACTGGGACGGGTTGGGGACACTAGTGACAGAACTGACCCTGTGCTTCCCGTGTCTGAAACGACTGTCACATGAAGGGTTACCTTCCAGGAGCGTCTTCGTTCTCCCAGCTCAGGTCTCCACCCAGACACCTGGGTCACTCACGTGTCCTGGCTGGCCCCGGGCACTGGTTTGAAGATACTCTGCCACCAAGTACCAAAAAGGAGGTTTGCTGAATGAAAATTGCAACTGTGCACATAGACAAATGGCAATAGTTGCAATGGCCTTGCCTAAGGGTCCTGGCAGAGTCTGGGCGTGCTGGCAACCTGGAGCCCCAGGATGGAGCAGAAGCTGCCCGAAGTCCTCCGACTACCTAGCTGCCATTGCGGAGCCTGGCCCGCTGGTCCGAGCTCAGAGTCCTGCATCCTCCCCGCGCCCCCCAGCCTCCATCACTGAATGCCCGCCACTCATTCACTCAACATGCATGAAGTTGTTTCCACATGCTCAACCCTGCTCTAGGTACTGGGGATCTGTGAGGAAATAAACAGATATGGCTCCTGTCCTCTTGGACCTTAGGGAGAAACCAGTGGAGGAGAGAGACAACAAGTAAACAAAAAAGCTCCTGCTTGTATATTGTGCTGAGCTTTCAAGGACAGAGACTAACAGAGAGGAGATACCCTGGATGAAGCCGGCCCAGACCTCTCTGAGGATTCATGCTGAGACCAGAGGCCTGAGAGGAGACAGCCACGAAGAGAATCAGAAGACAGCTCTTTCATGCCTTCTCCTGGACACAGTAAACCCACCTGCAATTCACAGCGCTGGGACAACAGAGAGCGATCAAGCCAGCTGCAAAGCTCATAGAAAACAGCGTTTCTCCTACGTTCACACTGCGGCTATAAAGTATCAGCAACTCCCTTCTCTGAAAGATGACCGCTTTCTTACTCACTGAGAAACTCTGCTCTCTGAAGCCCCAGGCTATCAGAAATTTTGCCACTCTAAGTTGCACCAGAATTAGGGAAGTATCCCGCTCCTGCCGGGGGGGAGCTGTCCCTCTGACACAGGGAAGCCACCTCCACTTCCAACTGGGTGCAGAGCTGCAGAGAAGCAGGCTCCAGAGACGACACGCATCTACGCGAACCGCATGGTCTCCTGGGAACCAGACCCTGGGGTCCACTTGGCAGTCCAGATCAGATCTTGACCTCTTTCCAGGCCGCCCTGCTTCACTTTGAGCCCATCAAAACATCACTTTCTTTAAATTTTGCCTAAACTCCACCCATCCTGCAAATTCTGTACTAACTCTTTTCCTCTGACTGAGAGGCCACGTCCCACCACTGCGTGGTCTCACTCACTGCAATGGGTCAATAAACCTGAGAGGTTTGTTCCAGTGGCCTAGGCCCCCTTCTCTCCAAACTCGTGTCCCGTCCTTCCCAAACCTGTCAGCTGATGACCTCGTTTCCTGTTTTCCTGAAAAAACAGAAGCAATCAGAGAGCCCCAAGCCCTCAACACCTCACGGCAGGTTCCTGCCCCCCTCCTTCTCTGCTGCAATGACAAGCTGACCTGAGCTCCCAGCCCCGTGCCTGCGCAAACAAGACCCCTCCCTGCCTCCCACCTGCTCAGGACGCTGCCTCCGCCCTGCTCCCCAATCACTACCAGTGCACCCTAACTTCTCCCGCCATGGAAACACCCTTGTCACCCCACTGTCCCCTCCAGTTACTGCCCCATTTCTCTCTTCCCTTTTTGGTCAACTCCTTTAAAGACCATCTATGCTCACTATCTCCTTCCTCTCTTTCTCTAAAACCCGCTGCTACTCCACCCACACTGACCAAATCGCCGTGACCTCGCTATTGCTGAACACAGCAGTCAGTTCAGTCCGCCCGGTGGCATCTGGCATGGCTGATCACTCCCTCCTCCTTGAAACGCCTTTGTTAGGAAGATGCACTCTGGTGGCTCCTCTTGCCTTTGACTCTAAGCTGCTGGAGTGTCCGAGGCTTGGACAGACCTCCGCACTCACACCCTGGACGATCTCGTCCAGGCTCGGGCTCGCTGTCCCCACCGGCTGACAGCTCCCAGCATAAAGCCCCAGTCCCAGCTTCCCCAGAATGCCACGCTTGCTAACTTGACATCTCTACTTGGATGTCCAATGGACAATTCAAAAATAATATTTCTTCTCACCAGTAAGGGGCACCTGGGTGGCTCAGTCGTTAAGCATCTACCTTCGTTCGGCTCAGGTCATGATCCCAGGGTCCTGGGATCAAGTCCCGCATTGGGCTCCTGCTCAGCGGTAAGCCTGCTTCTCCCTCTCCCACTCCCCCTGCTTGTGTTCCCTCTCTTGCTGTCTCTCTCTCTCTCTCTGTCAAATAAATAAATAAAATCTTTAAGAAAAAATATTTCTTCTCAACAGTAAAACGACTAATATATCAATCTGGAAATGGGCAAAGGACTTGAACGGACATTTATCCAGAGAAGATATGCAGACAGCCAAAAGGCACATGAAGGGCTGCTCCACTTCATTAGTCATCAGGAAAATGCAAATCAAAACCACAATGAGAGCCCACCTCATACCCACTAGGATAGCTGTCATCAAACAGTCAGGCAAGAATGAGTGGTGACAAAGATGTGAGGAAATAGGAATGCATACACAATGCTGGTAGAAAACAGTCTGCAAGTTCCTTGAAAGGTTAAACATAAGTTACCCATGCAAATCCATTGCTTGGGACATGCCTAAGGGAACTGAAAACATACATTCACATGAACCTACACGAATGTTCACGGCAGCATTATCCATAACAGCCAAATAGCGGAAATAACCCAAAGTCCATCAACTGATACATGGACAAATAAAATCTAATATAGCCATACATGGACTATTAATCACCCATAAAAAGAAATAAAGCACTAGTACATGCCGTAATGTGGATGAAACTCGAAAACTTGATGCTAAGTGATGAAATAAGGCAGACACAAGAGGTCACATATCGTAGGATGCCATTTGTATGAAACATCCAGAACATGCACACCCAGAGAGACAGAAAGTGGGTTAGTGATTGCCAGGGGCTGAGTGAAAGGAGGAATGGAGAGTGGCTGCTAATGGGCGCAGGATTTCTTTTTGGGTGAAAATGTTCTGGAACTGTTTGTGGTGATGATTGCACAACATTGTAAATATACTAAAAATCACTGCACCGTACACTTTAAAAAGCAAACTTAATGGTATGTGAATTATATCTCAACTTAAACGGATAACAAAAATGCTTCCCAAACGCAACGTCTGCAAACCCTGGCTCTACTGAATCACTCCAGCCTCACCCAAGTCTCCCCCTTTCTTGACGCAGTGGCGTCTGCTCACCGGCCCCTCCGTCTTTTCAGCTACGCCCATCGGGGTCGTGACGGCGTTCGCTCACCTTTCCCACAGACTCCAGGCCCACGTCTTTCTCTCTGGCCCATTCCCGCCTGTCTTCAGGGACTTCGACTAAAACTATGGCGACTTTTCCCACTCGGCCCTCACAGTCTCGTGGGCTTCCTCCAGCGGTACCTGATTCTTAGAAGGTGCTCTTGAGGAAATGGATAAAACCACTGCCTCTCTCTTCTACAACATTCAAAATGGCCAAGTATGTCTCAACTTAGACCTTAGGTCAAGAAACAGCACTTTTTTCTGTAAAGGGCCAGACAGTAAATATTCAGGTTTAGGGGCCAAAAGTTGAAATCCAGTGATGAGTACATCACGGGACTTGCGGGGCACCAAGCGGCAGTGTAAAGCGATGACAGGCCACAAGCTCTCTGTCACTGTCATTCAACTCTGTCACCAGGGTGTGAAAGCAGCCCCCCACATTACAGAAACCATGAATAAAACTTTACTTATGGACAATGACATTTGAATTTCATATAGTTTTCATGTGTCACAAAAGATTATTCCTCTTTTGATCTTCCCCCCAGCATTTATTTATTTATTTATTCAAATATTTTACTTATTTATTTGACAGAGAGACACAGTGAGAGAGGGAACACAAGCAGGGGGAGCGGGAGAGGGAGAAGCAGGCTTCCCGCCGAGCAGGGAGCCCGATGCGGGGCTCGATCCCCTGGACTCTGGGTTCAGGACCTGAGCCGAAGGCAGACGCTTAACGACTGAGCCACCCAGGCGCCCCCCCCACCCGCCGCCCCCAGCACTTAAAAAGGTAAAAAGCATTCTTAGCTCGCAGGTCATACAAACACAAGTCACGGGCAGAAGCTGGCCGATCCCTGCGCTGGGTGATGCCATCCCTCTGGGCCTGTTGCAGACCATCCTTCCGTCCTGCGCATTCCCTCCACGTGATCTCCCTCATGCACGTGGCAATGGCATTGGTTTCTAAGTCTCCACTGTGGCCCGGATCTTCCTCCTACACTTCACTCAGCTGGCTCACCGAGGCCAGGGATGTCCATAACTGAGCTCTGTCCTGTCACCAGCATACCCCTCCTCCAGCGTTCCCTCACTGTGACAGGCATACAACCTGCCCACTTGCTCAAGTCACAAAACAGGTGACTTGGTTCCGCCCTCCCCCAACCTCTAAACCCACCAATCACCACGTACAGTCAATTCTATCACCCAAACCTCTCTGAAATCTCACTTCTCCCTTTCTCGCTACCACCCTCTGGTCTAAACCTCCAGAATCTCTTACCTGGGCTTCGGCAACAGTTTCCTGCATGGACTCCCACTTCTTTCTCTTTTCCAGTCCATTCTCCACACAGCAACTAGAATTTTTCTTTCCTGCAATGTTTCAAGCATGGAAAAAACTAAAAAGTAAGATCATGAACACCCCTCCAGCTTTGTCAAGTAACAGCACATCACAGCTTTTTGAAGATCTTTTTTAAAGAAATAAAATATTACATATATAGTTGAAGCCCCTTGGGACCCCTCCCAGTCCTATTCTGCTCCCTCCCAAGAAGTAACCACCGCCCACAAGCCGATGTACATCAGTAGTTCTCAAACTGCGGTCCCAGGACCTGCAGCAGCAGCATCACCTAGGAACTTGTGAGAAATGTGAGTTCCTAAGTCCTCACTCCAGATCTGAATCAGAAACTCTCAGGTGAGGCCCAGAAATCTGTTTTAACAAGTCTTCCAGGGGATTCGGATGCATGCTAAAGCCCAAGAACCACTGGTGTATAGAATTTCCAAACTTTTTATTTTCACCACCAGTATGTGCCTATAAATAACAGCACATAATATATGGATGTTTACAAGCTATATACAAGTAGTACTGTATACATCCTTTGCAACTTGCTTTTTTAAAATCCCAACATTAGGTTTATGAGGTTTATCCATGCAGATACATCCAACTGGGTTTGCCATCTTCACGTGTTTAGTTTTACCACCACCAGCAAAGTGAGCTTTGTACACACCTCCTTCTGCACGTGTGGGAAGTGTCTTGCTGGCATACACAGGGTGATCTTTCTAAAGCACACATCTGATCACTCCTTGCTTAAAACCAACTAACCGTCCTCCTCTGTCCTCAGGACAAAGTCCAAACTCCTATAAGGCCCCCTGAGCTCCAGCCTCTGTCCACCTCTCCAGACACCTCCCTGCACCCCACCCTCTAGGCCCGGAGCTTCCCTCCCTTCTCGAAGTCGCTCCTCTGACGTGCCCAGGCTCTGGCATGTGCATCCCTTCTTCCTCAACTGTGAGTTCCCAGGGGATTGCCTGCCTGCTTCGAGCACCCCTGTATCTTCAGCAGCTGGCATACAGCAGGGGCTCAGTAAAAATGCACTGACTGCCTGATCACTCAGGACTCCTCTCTGCTGCTTTCGCACTTCCACTGAATCTGCTCTTTCTCTCTTCACGTACCTGTCCCCTGATACTCTCACCCAGCACCTCCTCCGATCTGAGTTCACCATCTTTCTACTTCTCAAATCCCCTTGCTGTGACCTTCCACAATCCTATCTCGCCACAGGTAGTAGAGTCAGTTTTCTATAGGGCCTGAAGCCTATAAATTTTTTTTTCTTTTGGAGGGATAGCACTTTCTTCATTTCCACACAAAGGCTGCCAACATCAGGTAGGAAATTCTGTAGAACTCTAGAAATTCATTATTTTCTAATCTACATTAGATCATTACTCAGTTACCCATTTTTTTTTTTTGAAGATTTTATTTATTTGACAGAGGGAGAGAGAGCACAAGCAGGGGGAGCAAGAGAGGGAGAAGCAAGCTCCCCGCTGAGCAGGGAGCCCAACACAGGGGTGTGGGAGTAGATCCCAGGACCCCAGGATCACGACCTGAGCCGAAAGCAGACCCATAACCGACGGAGCCACCCAGGCACACCATTTAATGCCTTTCTTGTGGACCCGGAAGTTATATTCCTCAATAATCTTTCAATTATCCCTAAGCCCTCAGATCCACTTCTGAATCCTCAGAAAAAAAAAACACTCACCCAAAAAGTCAACTAACTTCGACACAGTGTCAACCTCACACCAATTCTGTGAGGCATATATAATTGTTATTATTCCCATTTAACACATAAGAGAATGAGGTGAAGTTACTTAGCCAAGGTCACTAAACTGTACATGGAGGAGCCAAGTTTTCTGGCCGTAAACTCACCTTCTTTCTCTAAATCCTGCAACCCCTCAGGTGTTGGACCGAATTGAACATAGCATGGTCACTGCATAGGGTGGGAGAGAGATCTGAGACTGCCGTTTCTTAAAGAAATCTTTAGCCCACCCCAACACCTTGATCGGCCTTTTTCTTTTAAAGGCGTATTTCTGGAGTAGGCTGCCCAGGGCTCCAGATAGGCTGTATGGCTGAGGGAACTCTGCTGTCCAGAAATAAGAAAATGACACTGACAGTTGCTGGTTTGCAAGGAATAAAGATTGTGGGGCCAGTTGGATAGGAGAAATTCAGGCACTATTTAGACACAAAGGACTTCTGACATTGATAGTTAAAAGTTGGTAATGGAAAAAACTGGAAACCACTGCTCTACGCTCACAGCTCATTTAGAAGAAAGAAAAGCAATAGCACAAAATTAGTTTTTACCGATTTTCAATATTCAATTCAACCAGAGAAGAAAAGAACTGGTGCCACCCAATATAATTTAGAATAGAATCCCATCTTGCCAACAGAACACAAGGCACATTAAAATAATTATTTTAAATATTTCGGAGGCTTACTTAGCCTTAAGGTGCTACAGTCGAGGTAAAAAGGCCGGAGAAGATAAGACTACTAATCACACGGCTAGGCCAGCCTTTAAAAAGAGCGGCTCAGGATTACCCCGACCACCGAGCCCCGCGCCTGGAGGCGGCTGGCAGCCGTGACCCGGCCCGGCACGAAGGATCCCGAGCAGGACAGACGCCGGCAGGAGGGAGCCGAAGCCCGAGCCGGGCCGGGTCGTCCGCCACGTCAAGCTGCAGCTGGGCCGGGGCGGGGGGCGGGGGGGGCGCTCGCTGCCGGGGTCGGGGCGGCCGCCCGACAAGGGCAGGCCCCACAGGAAGCCCAGTCGCCCTCCCGCTCCGCAGACCCCTGCTCTCGCGGGTCCGGCCGGGACGCTGCGCTCCAGCCCGCCGCTTCCCCGCGGTCCTCTGCCCGCCAGCCGCCCCCCACCTCCTCCCCGCCGCGCCTACCTGCGGCCCCCGGTCGGGCACGCGGCCTCCTGCGCCTGCGCGGCCGGAAACCAGCCCCCGCAGGGCGAGCGCGAGGCCGCCCCCTGGCGTCCGCCTCCCGCCGCGCACCTGGAGGCCGGCGCGGGCGGGATTCCAGCCCAGGTGCGCCCACCGCTCTCCTATTCTGGCTTCTCTCCGAGCCGGTGAGGACAACGAGGTGTTGACCTATTATTGTTTTAGTCCGGAGGCCAGCCTGGTGCTGGCTACGGTGGGGAGGAGCTAGAAGATCTAGACCTTTCAAAAATCTCCCGATCGTTGCAAAGCGGTGGTCTCCAAAGGGTAGTCCTCGGACGAGATGCCGATGCTTCACATCTCCAGGGAAATTGTTAGAAGGGCAAATTCTCGGCTCCATCCCAGACCTGGAGGCAGGTGGGGTCCAGCAACTTGTGCTTTAACCAGGCCTCCGGGTGATGCTGAAGCTGCTGAAGGGCCCCAAGGCCCTTGGTTTTTATTCATGATTTTGCATATGTATCCTGTTCTAGCAGAACTGACTGTACAAGGGCTTTAGGTGGGTTTCGGGTGGAAGAAAGCATCATTACCAGAACAGGTAGCATAAGGAGAAGACATTTTGAATTTGAAATGGAATGGTAGTCCAAGCTAATATCCAGTAGGACCTTACATCTCTGGGGAGGGGTGCAATAATAAAGATTCCCCCCATTTGTAGGAATTTCCTGCCTCAGAGGATCCTGTGATGCTTTAGAAGGGATGATCTCTTCAAGACAGAGAATATACAGGGAAAAGAAGAGAGCCAAATCTGAGCTCAAGGAAACTTAGATTTCAGGATTAGAGGAAGTGTAAAGAACAAACAAGCTATGAAAGCCAGTAAGGAGAGATTTCAAGGATAGGAAGGGCTGATTCCTGGTAAGATGGAGAAAACACATGAAAACTTCTCTCTCCCACCAAACCACTATAAAACCTGAACAGAACTCATGGCACAGGGCACCTGGGTGACTCAGTCGTTAAGCATCTGCCTTCGGCTGGGGTCATGATCCCAGGGTCCTGGGATCAAGCCCTGCATCAGGCTCTCCGCTCCATGAGAAGCCTGCTTCTCCCTCTCCCACTCCCCCTGCTTGTGTTCCCTCTCTTGCTATGTCTCTGTCAAATAAATAAATAAATAAATAAAAATCTTAAAAAAAAAAAAAAAGAACTCATGGCACAACTATCTGGGGTCTCTGAAAAGCAAATATCTCCAGCTAGATCAAAGAAGAATGCCAGAATTGGAAGCCCCACTGACTGGTCATGATGTTATGGTCTTTCCTCTGGTACCCTTGGACTTGGCTCAACACAGCCCCAAACCTGGAAGTGAGCACTGATGGGCAGAGGGAGACCCTGGAGAAACTGTCTGGTCTGGCTCATAAAGCAGAAAAAGAAACTCCAAAAACTCAGAGACAGTGGAGAAAATTCTGGGTTTTTTTCCTTCTCCTTTTACTTCATTCCCTTGCACCCCAGCCTCCAGTCAATCCTGTGTCAGGAGCAGTGGCAGAATCAAAAATGGTGGGCAGCAGAAAACTGTAGGAGCCAAAACTCTGAAGCAGAGTCATCCTTTCCATTCCGTGGAGCTGCAGCTCCAAGAGGGCAGAGACAAACTTCGTTGCTTTTTGTTTTTCTGCTGCTGTGACACAATTATGAGAGTGGGTAGTTGCTCACCAAGAGTGGAAAGTTTCTGGTCAGAGGACCAAAATGAGAAGCCCCAGAGAACTGGAAAATAAAGGGAAAACAGTGCAAAGGGAGAAATTCAGGAAAGCAATCCCATAAAATTGTTTATGAACTCTAGAGCTCACCCATGACCTGCACATCATAGATCTGATTCTAACTGGCATACCAAAGACTTTGAGAACTATGCTAACGGATAGCTTTCTGCCCAGGTCCCACACTAGCCACTGGGTGATGCATTCATGAGACAGATCCAAATAGCACTGCAAAAGATTTGAAAACTGAACTGACTTTGGAACATAGCCACAGAAGGAGTGTTTGGAATGTATGACCCATACCAAACTACAGCAAGGGCTTGTTAAAATAAGAATATTGCCATTCTCCATAGGATTTAAACAAGAATCAGAGTCTCATGACATCCAAAATGCCCAGAAATACAATAGAAAATTACTAGGCATCTATGAAGGATCCAAAAACCTCAACTTGCACGGGAAAAGACCATTGACAGTCACCACTGATGAGATGAAGCAGATGTTGGGATTATCTGACAAAGACATTAAAACAGTTATACAAATGTTCAAACAATCATGAACACTCTAGAAACAGAAGTTAGAAGGTACTGGTAAGGAAATAGAACTTAAGAAGAATTAAACATTTTAGAATTGAAAAATATATAACTAAACAAACTGACTTTATAGATCCAAGGGCAGAATGGAGATGACAGAGGAAAGTCATTAAATTTAAAGACAGATTAATAGAAATCATTTAATGTGACTAACAGAGAGAAAAAGAGGGAAAAAAATGAGCAAGACCTCAGGCACCTGTGGGGCAAGAATAAAAGGTCTAACATTCTTGTCATCAGAGTCCTACAGGAAAACAGAAAGTGCCAAAAAATATTTGAAGAAGCCATGGCTGAAAATGTACTGGTGAAAAAGTCAACATTCAAGAAGCTTATTCAAGAAGCTGAACAAGAAAGATAAATCCAGACACTCATACCCAGACACATCAAAATCAAATTGCTGAAAACTAAAGACATTAAAAATTCTGAAAGCAGCCAGAAAGAAACCTATAGGCAAACAACCATTCTAATGACAGATTTCTCATCTGAAATCATGCAGGCCAGAGGAAGTGGCACATTTTTCAAGTGCTGCAAGAATTATACACCCAGAATTCTATATCCAGTGAAAATGTCCTTCAGGAATGAAGATGAAATAAAGATATTCTCAGACTAAGAAAAAAATAAGAAAATTGGCAACCAGAAGACTTACTCTAAAAGAATTGCTTAAAGAAGTTTCGTCACACAAAAGGGAAATGATACCAGAAGAAAACTTGGAGCATCAGGAATGAAAGAAGAATAAAAGAAATGGTAAATAGCTGGGTAAATATTTTTAAAGATTTATTTATAAATAATAATTTTAATAATAATTTAATAAAAATTTAAAAATAATAATTTATAAATAAAAATAATTTTTAAGATTTATTTATTTGAGGGGCACCTGGGTGGCTCAGTTGGTTGGGTGTCTGACTCCTAATTTTGGCTCAGGTCATGGTCTTGGGGTGGTGGGATTGAGCCCCATGTGGGGATTCCAGCTGGGGGGCTGGGGGTGGGGAGAGTCTGCTGGAGATTCTCCCTCTCCCTCTGCCCCTCCCCCCTGCTTGCACTCACTCTCTCTGAGAGTGAGTGCGCGCACACAGAGTTGGGGGAGGAGCAGAGGAAAGAATCTTCAAGCAGACTCCCCACTGAGTGAAGAGTCCCATGTGGGGCTTAATGCAGGGCTTGATGTCACCGCCCATAAGATCATGATCTGAGCCAAAACCAAGAGTCACATGCATAATCAACTGAGCCACTAATTTTTTTTGGGGGGGCTCCTAAAATGTTTGGCCATTGAATGCAAAAAGTATAAAATTATCTGATGGGGTTTTTAACGTAAAAAAGTGTAACATTTAAGACAATGACAGCATAAATGGTAGAGGGTAAGGAAACCTATATGGTGATAAGGTTTCTAGAGTAACCACTAAAAACAAAATAAAACCAAACAAATCAGGGTGCCTGGGTGGCTCAGTCGTTGGGTGTCTGCCTTCGGCTCGGGTCATGATCCCAGGGCCCTGGGATCGAGCCCCACGTCGGACTCCCTGCTCCGCAGGGAGCCTGCTTCTCCCTCTGCCTGCCACTTCCCCTACTTGTGCTCTCTGTCAAATAAATAAATAAAATCTTTAAAAAAAAAAAACAATCAGTAACAGAAGATAACAGGAAAATCTCCTAACATTTTGCAATTAAACAATACACTTCTGAATAATCCATGGGTCAAAGATGCTGTCTCAAGAAGGGAAATCAGAAAATATTTGAGCTGAATGAAAGTACAAAATATCAAAATTTCTGAGAACAGTTAAAGCAGTTGCTTGAGGAAAATGTATAGCAATTGCTACAGGTGAAAAGACAGAGCTGACATGTTAATTGGAAAAGGCAAACAAAAACACTGCATGTCATACATTCATGTAAAAAAAGAAAAAGAAAATGTCTCTTGCTGATGTGTATGATATTCTGCAAGATTAAAAAATACTGTCAAGTGTTTACCTCTGAGAACTAAGGGAGATGGTTGTGAATGAATGCAGGGAGAGACTTGTATATCTTTCTTTAGTGTTTGTCTTTTTTTAAACATGCATATGTTCCTCTACAATTAAAAAATACTAACATGAAAAAAATGTATATCACTAAAGGCTTAGACTGTGAAAGAAGGGTTTTGTATCAATCATCTAACCTTTTTCCTTAAAAAACTAGAGAAATTTGCTAAGAGAGTAGTAGATCTTCAATGTTCTCACCACAAAAAAAGTGAACTATGTGAGGTGATGGGTGTGTTAACTAATCTTAAATGTGGCAGTCATCTCTCTATACACATATATCAAATCATCATGTTGTATACCTTAAGCTTACGCAATATTACTTGTTAATAATATCCTGATAGTGCTGGGAAAAATATTAGAATAAACCAGATCAAGTAGAAAGAAAGAAATAATCGGAGAACTCAGTGAAATTAAACATTTTCTATTATATATCTTTAAAAAAAATAAAACACTGGTTCAGGGGCGCCTGGGTGGCTGTCGCTAAGCGTCTGCCTTCAGCTCAGGTCATGATCCCAGGGTCCTGGAATCGAGCCCCGCATCGGGCTCCCTGCTCAGCGGGAAGCCTGTTTCTCCCTCTCCCACTCCCCCTGCTTGTGTTCCCTCTCTCGCTGTCTCTCTGTCAAATGAATAAATAAAATCTTTTACAAAAATAAATAAAATAGAAAATAAATAAAAAGCTGGTTCAGACCCACTGACGTGATGTAATTGCCCATTAATGGGTTACAACCCAGGTTGGAAAACATTGATTTTTATAACATAACTTCCAGAGGGAAATGTTCTGGACTCTCCTGTCAATTTAAAAGTTAATATTTAGGATATAACCAACCATAAAATTGAGTTTAAGGTCTTATTAAAGCATGTAACTAGCCAAATTTGTTCTGCTTTGTGACACTTTCCTGGCTCCATCAGGCAGATAATCCCTTCTGCTTCTTTGTTCCCAAAAAGTATTTCTTCAGTAGCCAATAACATTTTCAAGGTACCAAAGCGCATAGCATGCTGTTGGACTCTCTCAGAATTGAGGTCCCTGAGGACAGACGTGGTGGTGTCTTAGTATTTTCTAAATCCAGCTTTTATTAATGTGGGTAATATCTATTGACATTTACCATATTTGAAATTTAAAAATTTTATTAATTTATAAAATAAACCTATTACATGTTAAGAAAAATAACATTTTATAAAACCTACATTTTCCAAATTAAACAGAAAAATGGCAGTTCGCATTTTTGCAAATCTCTTTAGTCTAACTTAATAGAAGATATCTATACTTCTAAAATCTGTTGCAATATATGGTGTGTTGAAGGAAATGAAGAAAATCCAGACTCGTACACACAAATATATAGTTGGAAAAGGAGTATTTTAATAGCCTTTTCAGAAATTGTGATACTTCTGATACTCTGATACTACACCCAAATCTGACGAGTGGTCATTTCTCAAAGGTTAGTTGCAATGCAGAATCTGCAAATTTATCTATGAACTTTTTGTGCTGATAGGTCTTATAATCTGAATGGAATGTTTATCTGTGTATGATAACATCACAGACTGGTCATTTGGAAAATATTTTCTTTCAGTTATTCAGTTCTCCCAACTGTTGACACATTTAAACAGTATCAAAATTTTAAAAAATTATTCACTTTAATTAATACCATGTTGATTTCATTAGAAAGGTCTGTAGTAGGTATTAGGAAGCTGCCAGGCTTACCATGGTAGATTAAAAATTTCACTTGAAGGCTCAAATTTTATCATTGGCAACAAACATTCAGTTGTTTCCTATGGCAACCTGAAGTGACAAACTCTCATTTATTTTTGAGAAAATGTATGCCAGCCATCCAAGCATGAATAACCAGTTAATCAATTGTTCTTAAAGTGGTGTTCCATGGAAAGTGACCCGTTTGGCCCCCTTCACAATTACACAAATGCTTTTCTTCAAGACGACCAAAAAGATATGCTTTATGCACAAACCCATTCAATCACACAGAGTACTGAAAAGACAGAGCATTATGAATAAAATATATAGTTACTGACCCATCAAAGACATTCTTCAGGGAATATATGGCAGTGAAGAGTACAGCAGCTACTAAATACCACTGCCTTGTCTTTGTGGTAAGGCACCAGCAGTGCAAATAGCAACACAGTGTTATTAGGCAAGTAGTTTTGAACTAGTAGACCCCTCCATGGACCACATGTTAATTAACACGCATTATGTGGGAAGGGAAGCAGATGTGCTTTCATGTCCAGTGAAAGGAGTGTGCTGCCAGGTCTATGTGTCCAGTTGCCCATTAGGAGATGGTCCTCACTAGGATTAGTAGAGCCTAAAATCATTATTCATTTAAATCCTAGAGCCTCCTCACCTGATTCCATACCCACTAAGCAATCTTTTGATAAATGAATTGCCACTTCAGGCAGAAAATGCCAAGTGACTAGGCTGATGTAACTGGTCTGCTTCAGTTACATTTCTCAATGTAAATTACACTTATTAAACAGTCTTGATGAGCTTTGAGTCAGCAATTCTGAATCCAATCAATTCTGGGACACTGATGAGGTAGTTTCTGAGAGTAAATGCAATTTTGTAACTTCTCTATACAGTTTTTGTTCCTAATGACACCTTTGAGATTGTCTACATAGGAATGATACTTCATGACAATTTTAAATAGAAAATCAGTTTCTAAAAACAGCAAAAACATGTAAAATGTTAAAAATATTATTTCCTAAATTCTTGAGAAGCCTATTCTACTCTATATAAATTTCTTTAGTTGTAGTTTGATGCTTTGAACACTGAACAAAACTTCTTTGTTGATAAGGTGAGATTATGTGCAGGTACAGAGAACTAACTTGTTCAACACGTCAACTCCATTCTAGCATGTCTTCCTGAATTGTAGAGGCCGAAAAGCTATCAACTACATTTTCAAGATTCCTTTGCAGTTAAGAGTTTTAGATGACATTTAGGTTCCTTCCAATCCAATGTACTGAAGTGAGCAAGGCTTTAATTTGGAGCTGCATCACGTGGGAAGGGAAGCAGATGTGCTCACATGGAATGTGGCAGAGGTGGACAGTCCTAGAGACCTAGAGTCCTAGATGACAGCCTCATTCAGCAGTTTCCTGATCCCAGAACAGGCAACAGCAATTTGATGGCCCGGTTCTATAGTGTGGTTTAGGGATATATTTCAGGAAGATCAGGCAATTATTCTGTGAGCTATCTATATACCTTAATAAACCCTGTAGGTCTAAACTATCTTGAGTAGATTTTGTTGAAGTCAAGAACTGACCAACTCACATTCTGGTAACACTTCCTTTCACATGATCATGTTTGTGGTTTCTGTAGTTTTATGGCAATATTTTCTTTCTCAGTGGCTTTTCTAAGCTGAGACAATGTCCCCTGTACATAGTTAAACGCTATTTTAAAAAACCAAACTACTATATCAAGTTTTAGGATACATCTATAATTTTATTACAAAACCATTCTTTTGGCATTAGTTGGTTACAGTGATAGCAAGATACTGTGAGTGTGGCAGAGCAGCTCTAATGT